GACCTTTAGTTACAGCGCAGTACCGACGGCGAAACAACGCTTCTAAATAGTTGTAGTTCATATTTAACGCGACAGCAGCAAGCTGCAGAACAACATGAAGTTGATGAACAAAGGGTTAAGTTTCTAAAGAAACTGTGGTGCTGAGTCGGTGCGAGAGTATAGCAGATAATTTAGTGTTGACAATTGAGTTGAAAACGTAAATTGGCCACCATAAAGATTTAAAAGGCTGACGTTTCGAGGGATAGCCCTTCGTCAGAGCGATTGGAGGAACTGTGGGTTGTGTGTGGGTTTATATGCAGAAAATGGAGCTACACTATTGGTGGGAGGTTGGCATGAGGCTGGCCTGAGGTTGGTCTTTTTATATGGAAACTCTAGCTTTAGACAGAAATCTTCAGTTTATGTTACTTTTGCAATATTAAGGTGAGCCTCGAAAGGCACAAAGGCCGTGCCACGTATTACGAAACAGAAAGACGTCCATCGAGGTCTAAAACTGACGCCCATGGAATACAAAAAGGGAAACCGAAGAGGAGAAAAATTATGAAGTGATCTTCATAAGGATCCGGTGTTGCCAAGCTCTCCCTAAACACCTCACTCGTCCATCTTACCACGATGTTCTCTGCTAATAGCTTCTGATGCTCGCGGTAAGATTAGAGGGATTGGAGACGCGTTTGCTGTGAACTTGATGAAAATTGAAATATGAAATTTCAAAGAAACGGAGACCTTCCACTATACTAATTTTTGTTCGCGTTTTCCTCCAAGCGTAAAGAAAGGATTCGTGAAAAGAGAAGCGCTACGCTTCCACAAATTTACTCAGGCTCCAAGCTAAATAGAAAGATTTTCAAAGTAAGCTTGAAGAATTAAGGATACCCAGATTAAATTACGGACAAATATATCTTTAAAGTTTATTTTCGAGAGGGAAAGGTCACTCAATGACAACGAAAATATCACAGATAAGAAAACATTGTCATTTGTAACATAATATCGTTATTTTGGCCTTACCGCTTAGACAGAAGGCCTCAATTGCAATTAGCCGTTAAACGTGAAAATTTATAAATTGTAACCCTTATTCGCCAAAAAACTAAAAACGCCAACCATATTTTTTTCTTTTCTATTTGTGTTTTTTCAAATTGCAAGTGACAAAATCTTAGACTGCACATGTCCGTTTTGGCAAATACGGTTACAGCGAAATACTCAGTTCCCGCGAATGCAATCGTGGAATGGCGTGAATAAAATGAGCTAACAGACAGTTCACTACATTTAGGATCTTCACTTTCGTTATTCATTGTATGAGTGAAAACTCATTATAAATTTATATCGAGCTCGGGAGGAGAAGCCAATTGATGGAAATGAGGCAAAAATCAAAATCGGAGAGGAACACCGCTATATTTCAGGATTTTAAAGAAATCTGATCGATATTCTTGGTCTCAAAGAGGTTCGGACAAGGGTCATTAGATAGAAGCTATATCAGCACGATGAAGGGGCCCTTTTTTTTCTTTTTTTTTTTCGCAAATGTCAAGGAATGTCTTAAATGCGTCTATTCGTCTAAGGAAATGCCAAGAATTATCTCGATCATAATCACGCAAGGCTACATGTTCAAAACAAATGTAAACGAACTCTAAGCTGCCGTTTTTTTTAAACATTGTTACTACCTTTGTTTTCCTCTGTGAATCGATCTCCTGATTTCGATGTATGCCACTTAATTGCGTCGTTCAGGATGATTTGGTTTTCTCCTTCCTCTTACTTTGCAAATGGTACCCGAGAGCCTCTTTCATATGAACTTTTCTCTTCCATTAAACACTGATTGTTGTGTTCTCGACTGCGATTGTTGGTCATTCAGAACTCATTCAGATAACTGTAGTGTAGCATTTTGGTTTCAATAGCGTAACCTTGATTGACCAACAATCGCAGTCGAGAACGTGACAGTCGAAAAGTTTTGTCCAACCCCTAAGAGGCTAAACACAAGGTCCTGTAAAGTGGCCTCCATAAAGGGATCTAAGGGAAGCGTTTCGAGAGGTATAGCAAGCCCTTAGTTTGTGGAGTGGATTTGCTCTAATGCATGTAAACACTTGAAACGTTAGCTTTGAAATCTATCCACGGGCGCCGATTTACATCATCAACTCGACGGTTTTAACAAAATCAAATTACGATGATCGAGCCAAAGACCTGGTTCTCCTGCAATGTAAATATTTCATCTTATTCAAGACAGGTGTTAAGACGCAAACGATAATTAATTAGAATTTTCTCGTTCATCGTTTGCAGTGAAAACTATTAACTAAAAGTAGCCAGGTGATGCCATGATATGACCTCTTTCGTGAACGCTTTTCCTGTACAACGGATGCGATCTCTCAAGAATTTTATGTTATGTCTGTACAAACAGATAAGTTGAATCAGGTGGTTGTGGAAGTTGCAAAAATTAGAAATATTTCAATAAAATAAAATAAAACTCTGATACTATGATACCTCGTGCTGGGGTGGGTGTGGGCTACTTTAAAAACTATTCCTCCCTACCTACGTGTAAATAATCTCGGTGCCATTAGACTATGGGATATAATCCAATTTAATGAAAATTAGATTATCTCGTGTTACCTGGTTGGTACACGTGTAACGATGTTTTTCATACGATAATAACAACGATTAATTTGTTTCGAGGAATTTAGACGAACACGCAATTGATTATCAATGGTTAGTAGCTATGAGTCGCAAAGCGATAGTGTCAAGACGAGGTTAATCTGCCATGCTCACAATAGACTGCCTATTTTCGAGACTGTCGTTTGATCCAACTATATTCTTGAGAAATGTTTTGACCGCCCATTGGATAAGAGACTTGATAACCTACTACGGCTATTTTTATGGTTAATAAGTTTTGTCTTCGATGCACAACCCATGTTTCGTTATCTAATCAAATTACGCCACGTAATCAAGTCAAAATTGTTTAGTCCTCTCTATGCGTTTCCTGATTTGACTGTCTTGTCTAGCTGTCAGATTCTTAAAACTGAATATCGTCTCATAAAAGGGCTATGTTGTGAACTTTTTTATGAATTGTTTACGTTAGTCCGATTATTTTGTAGTCCTTTCACAAGTCTTTTGATTCAAGAGCTTACAAGGCTGCACGTAGTGCCTTTGTTTCTAGGGATTAGTGGAAGCAATAACTAATAAAGCTGTTTTTTTCATATATTTCAAACATCACGTGCAGTTATGTATTCCTCATTTTTATTTTTCTCCTCATTTAATTCAATTATTACAATTAATTGGAATATATAATGTCAATCGTGATGATTTCAAATCTTGTTAACTTTCTCATTGTTTTTTCTTCTTCGTCAGGCGATGAAGTGTAGCAGCTGAATCGTTACAATTCTCAATCAGCAGCTCAACACTGCGATTGAAATTGACTCTTAATGGTGAGCAAGAGATTCAAATTTTCTTCTACCAAGCCTTTTCCGTTTTTCCGCTTCTTTGACGAAATCCCAAGGAGGCTCCCTCAAGAGTCTCGGAATTTCAGCGAGAGATGAAACGACCACAAATACGAAATGTCAAGGACTTTCTTAAATCCAAATCCTGGGACTCGATTTCTACTAAGAAAATTGGCGAAAAAGATAATAATTGTTCACTCTTCTCAGGAAATGCCATCAATCCTCTCGATCATAATCACGCAAGACTCAATGTTCAAAGTCGATAAAGCGGACCTTGACGCACATTTCTTTCTCGAAAGATTTTTACTGTTTCCGTCTTCTTTCGGGAATCAATCTCCTGCTCAATGCATGCCAACCATTACGTCATTCATATAATTGGTTTCTTTTTTATTTTCTTCAGTCACGTTTTTCTAAAGAAATTATCTCACTGAAGACCCGCTTACTTTCTTTGGACGCTGATGGATTATCGTTTTGTGATGCTGTAAAATGAAATGGCAAATTATCTTATGGCTAAAGCAGAACGGTGATGAATCTACTCTTGTTTAAGTTTAAATCTTATCAACGTTTTAAAAATTATTCGATGTTTGTACTGAAAAACCATTTCCCATTTTGAAAGCGTAAATAAAGGAATGCTTGCGCCAGTAAAGGGTGCTTCTATTGAGGAACTAGCTATTGTCGAACAGCAAGTTTCGTGCTTTATCTAAGAGGTAGGTCTTTAAGATCCACGGCAACAAGGACAGTGAGCTCTAATCAAACCTGCTTTTCATCTTCATACCATCTAAAATGAACCTTGAACCAAGAAGAAAGGAGTATGTTGTACTGCATCAATGATTTGGTTTCATCAACTGAGTTTAGAATGTAAATTTGCTACTGTAAAGAGATTCTAAAAATGACATTTTCCTTTTAAAATGATTTTGACCAATCCTAAATTATCAATACCCAAGGAAAGTAACAGGCACTGAGGATACTAGATTCAGATCGGAGATTGGTAGCTATAATTAAACTCAGTATCTACATTTCAACCGCAATCTACCACACACAGGAAGTAGCACTCAAAGTTATACTGAGTAAAATCTCTTTCAAGGAAGAATTGCAAGCGATTGAAACCGATCGAATAACAATAAAGATTTATACGTGTCAGCCTCTGACCTAGATCCTCTTTTTCCCGCTTGAAGCATCCAAATCGTCGTCTGAAGAGCCAAACCAAAATTACAGTTTGGAGAGGCCGTGCAGATTAGAAACAAACAAACAAGCCAAAAAAAAAAAGTTTAGAACCTTCTACAGGGTAAAAGGCAAGTTTTTGTCAATGGAACTGGGTTTCGCTGTAAAGGCGTGACGATAAGTTTGCTAGAGTTTATCTTCTTACCTAAAAAGGCACAGTTTCTCTATAGAAAATATCCAATAACAAATATACATAACTTTTGGGCGCACGCTCCCTTTAAGGACGAGTGATCGAGAAGCTTGTCGGGTGAAAAACAAGTGGAAATGATGGACAACGACTTCAGCAATGTAGCAAAATTAAGCTCTTTTAATCGCAACACATAAGTGTTCAACATAATACAGAATTGCTTATGAAATCTAGCGGTTGCGAGTACATAATACTATATTGTTACTTCTGTTTTAGTGTATACGTGTGGCTCATTAAACTAATTAGTATTCGAATTCAGTTAATCAGGGTGTATTTCGTAGATATATTTCCCTGCTGTTACTTAAACTACGTCTTGGTTTTAGTTTAGAAAAAAAATCCGATCTCAGCTCATTCTAGTACAATCCTCCTGACGAAACAACGTATCAATCAATTTTTCTTTAACTTTTTGTAATAGAGTGTTCACGTCAGGTAGTATTTGAGGGAATCATTGGTAAGAGAACACTAATTATAGCCCACCGGTCTGATTTTCATTTCAGTGGTTGTAGGAGTGCTTGCCTTAGCAGTGCTTCCTAATGTTGCCCATGTAATGTCGCCCATAGGAGTTTTAGTTCCACGGCTTGGGTAAAGACCGTTGAGGTTTGAATTTACCACGCATATTTCACCGTACCACCAGCCTCCCCCAAGTCTCCCGTATGCATCGCACTTGCCATTAGCAGGGTCTCTATCCCAAGTGCCAAATGAGAAGTTCCTATGGTAACCAAGAGGATCATTCTCCGTTGCACCTGTTGAAAAACGAGGGAAATTTTAATGAATAAATCAACTTCTTTTTAAATTCGATAAGGCTTTAAATTCTACGTTCGTTGTTTTTAAGTTTGATTAAAACACTGAGAGATATTTTGCATACAAAACGTGGTAAATTTTATCTCAAGAAATCTAAAAACTTGAAGAAAAATATGACTTCTGTTAACATTCAACTTTAAAATATTCAGGTTTCGGCACCGAGTAGCAAAAGGGTTACCATGAGACAATTTATTTACCTGATTCATTCGTGCGACAGGAGCACGTACATGCCTTGCACGAAACTCACATTCAATGCAGTTTCTTGGGGAAAATTTTGATTTAAATAAGATAACATAGGAAAGATTACTTAGCAGAGCGATGATAAATAAAGAGGAGCTTAAGGGTAAAGAAATAAGGACAATAATTACTGATGAGGAAAATGAGGATAAGCTAAACGAAGCAATCTGACTAGCTCACCTGAAAGATTGTTCAGCCGGTAAGAAGTATTCTCGTTTCCGACGACAAACAATCCATACTCAGCGTAAACAAGCTCTTCATTAGTTACTCCCAGTTCTATTCGAAGTCCATTTCCCGTCCCGTTTCTTGTCAAACGGTGGATTTTGTCCAGTCCGAGCCAAAATTCTTGAGTGAAGAAATTTCCGAAACCATGTTTATACTCTTCCCAGGTGCGATTGAAATCCATGGAGCCATTAAGTCTCTTCTGAAGTACAGTCCATCCTCCACCAGCTGTGGTCTGGTCGCAAAACACGTCAAAGGCGCCTAAACCATCATGAGGGTCGATTGTGTAAACACCGCTGATTCTTCCTCCAGACTTGTATACGTCAGCACAGTCCTTGGCTAAAGAAAGAAAAGACGCAGTTATTTCTGCCGGCTGAGATTTACATCCTTGTGAATAAGAAAAAAAATCTCCGTGGTACTACGGGCTATCTTAGAGAGATGATACAAAAAAGTGTTGTTCCTTTTCAGTCGAATCTAGGCATCTCAATGAACCAGCGTCTTAATCAAGAAACCTCGCAATGAATTTTGAAAGATACTGGCTATTAGTAACATTTTTTGGTTGTTACAAGTTTCGAACATTTGGAAACAGGTAGTCTCTATCTACTTACTTTTTATTGACGCTCTTGTTCCCTTGAGAATATTCACTTCAAGTTGAACTTGAGAAACTTGTCGCATCACGTCGTTCAGGAAGCTTCCAGTATCGTTATGGCTACCCATCGGGGTTGCATGCGTTAACAGTTTTGTCGTCAAGAGGAGTGCAGAGAGCAGCAAAGTAGAACTCAAGGAATCAGAAGTCATTTTGTGGCAACTCGAGGCTATAATTGGTTGAAATGCAATACACATTAAGACTGAAGTAAAAACAAAAAATGAAAAGAAGAAGAAGAAGAAAAAGAAGAAGAAGAAGAAATAATAAAAAAGGAGAGATAAAAATAGAAACGAAACAGGTGAACATGATTGTGAGGTATTTTTCAAACAGAGTAATATAGCTGGGAAATTGGTTCCTACAGAGATGGAAAGTTCATTCAAATGTGTATAAGATACCTTGAGTAGAATCAGCAATCAAACTTCAGCGATACCAGCAGGGTGATGGAACTGGTTCACGTACAGAACACATTCCTATTTTATTACCCAGTACTTGAGGCACTGACGTGTAATCGAGGAAGGGTCCATTGTATGCGGCGGTATCAAATGCACGATGTTCCCTCCACGAAGGCAGCAATCTATTTTTAAATGAAATGCATTATTGTTGAAATGACACAAAGCAGCGTTCAGTCTTCAGAATTGTTTTTTTCTGTAGGATATGAGATATTTTAACATGCTGCAATGTAGCAAATACAATTCACAAAATGACCTAATCTATTTGATAACTATACTATTTTATCAGTTATGTAAAGAGAGGTAAATGGGGAAATATTATTTGAAAGGTGAAAAGATACATTCTAGTGGTGAAAAAATTGCAGGAAAAATAATTAAAATAAGCTTTGAAGTCGATCTGATAATCATGCGGTTTACCTAAGATTTCCGATTGCGATATTTATCGGCTACTTAAACGATATCTTATGTCGTGAAGTACTTTGGCGAGAGATTTCGCCGTCACAATGAATTTCCCAATTATGAATATCATGTCCTTGATATCGATATTTGAAACGTAACTGACGTGCCCTAAATTAATCATCCTGTGTACTTTTAATCAGAGGGTTTTTGGAATAATTAATGTTTACCCTTTTTTTCCATTTTTTGTTTCTTGTTTGTTGTAATCTTCATGCAAGTTTTATAATTCAAAAGCACTCTAAGCCATATTTGTTTTCTCTGAGTTTCTGTCCTTGACTGGTAACAAGGCTTAATTCTTATAGAGTAATTATCATCCGTACACATGATTGGCCTTGCTTGCTTGCTCTACAAGTCTCACGTAGTGTAAAATGCTACCAAGTATGTTAAGACGCAAATATTAAGGAACATAATGTCCTTCCAAGAGTTTAAAATTGAGTTGTTGAACTGAAAATCGATAGGTGTAAATATGCTATGCTAGGCCGTAAACCAAGCTGTAACTATCAGAAGTGCCTGGACGTCATAAAATTGTTAGTGGCCACATCGATACTTCAGTACGATGGACAACATTCTACAGTCTATACTATACGCTCGAAACGTCAGCTTTTTTACCCTTTACGGTGGCTAATTTACGTTTTCAACCCAGTTGTTAACACTAAATTACCTGCTATACTCTCCCACCGACGCAGCAACACAGTTTCTTTAGAAACTTACCCCTTTATTCATGATATTGCTTGCCAATCAGCGAAAACCATCAAAGTAGGTACGTACGTGCCGTGATATGTCCTCTTACATGTAAGCTAATCATTTCCTTACAACGGAAACGATCTCCCGATTTCCATGTCTATTTTCCAAATAAGGAGAACCTTGAGACCTTCTTTCACCTTTTTAAAGATTTCGCAAGAGTTTCATAAGACCAAATGAAATTATAAAAAAAAAAAATGAGTAAGTGCCGCTTCAAACCTTAATATTTTTCGCCTTCTGTCTAATATTGCATTTGTAACTGAACAACCAACACGGAAATATTTCTTAATTAAATGAAAGAAGGAAAAAGGATAAAATTAGCAAAATTGATCTTTTTTTAAATTCGTGCTAGTTTTGAACTTCTTACAGGGTAGGATGCAGGTTAGGTTTATCTTATTTGGCATTACTCCCAACATAACTCTTTCACTTAAAGTCACAATTACTCCAAAACTAAATCCAATAACACGTCTATACAGCTTCCAGATTCGGTTTACTGTAGGAAAATTTATGGTCGACGTAAAGCCTTTGTTTATCAGTAAATCTTTTTCTATATCTTGAGCAAAGCTCAAATTCTCTTTGAGTCTACGTTTTTTAATTCATTTTTTACCTTTTCCCGATCACTTTAATCGGCGTGTATAGTGTCGCCATTGAGATGGCGAGTCTTTGTCAGAGCGATTGGAGGAATTGTGGGTGGTGTGTGGATTTATATGCAGAAGAAGGAGCTACGCTATTGGTGGGAATATGGTGACGTGAAAACCAGAATAAATTAGTTGAATGAAAGGCGCTCGTCGATACTGTGGGGATTAAGAGTGCCCATTTGGATGATAAATTTTTGTTCTAGTATTTTGCGGCTTTCCGAACTGCCTAGATGTCGGCACGCCAAACAACGACTGTGCCGCCTTTGTCGGCCGCTTTGTCGGCCGCTTTAATTTGTCGGCCGCTTTGTCGCACTGATAAAGGCTGTGTAGTTGTTGTTTGGCGGGCTGACCTCTATCAAAGAGAAGCTTTACGGCAACTGCCTGACACCTTCTTCTATTCAGAAGTTGACATAGAAATATTTTTGCCGGCCACTGCAATAATGTGAGCTCCTCTACCAGAGAGTAGCTCACTCAGTTTATAGCCGCTGTCAATTCCTTTCACCCGGCTCTTAAATTTTGGCTTTTCTAGACATCATAATTTCAATTGAAGGTAACGTTTTATGCACTAGTGTTTACTACAAACCTGCAGATTCACAAAGTTACATGTTGTATTCATCTTAGCATCCATCACACGTCAAGAATTCTATACCTTTTTAACAGCGTCTCAGACTTCGTCGCTTAAGGTGTAGTGACGACTCTGATTTTTCCGAAAAAGGGGCAATGTGCCAGTTTTTCGATAAACGTGGTTATCCTGTATCTGTCGTTCAAGCGGGCCACCACCGTGCCCAACAAATTGATTGACAGTCAGCACTACAGTCGGCTGAGAAGGAAAACACCGACCGCATTCCATTCACTCTCACATTTTACCCTCACAAACACGCAGTTAAATCGATCATTCTTAAAAACTTTAAATTACTCCAAAACTCTTTACGATGGTCAATTTAAGTTTCCAGCTGTTACCACTAAATTACCTGCTATTAAAATGATGTGCCTGGTCTAACTATTAAATTGCGATATTCCGTAGAAACATTATAATACCCTTCGTTCCTTTGGAAAGGGCCTTTGTTAAGTGTTACTGAACACTCTCACTTTTCTCACTCTTCAACTAAGGTTTGTGAAACCCCGCGATTTCAAAGAACCGTACGTGGCATAAAGCTTTAGTCTTTTTTAGCGCTGGATAATCCACTTTCTTGCACTTCTCACTTTCAACCCATTAGATTACAAAATACTACAACTGCCATATTTTACATATTTTAAACTAACCTCATACTCGAATTTCACTCATCAGGGAAATTTTTCCATCATATATTGCTTTACTGTAACTCAAAATACACAATGGCCTCAATGGGACCGATTTCGAAAAAAAATATCTCGCCTCAGTTGCTTCAAATACATCTTTGTAAAACAACTTCGTCTTCTTCGTACTTATTTATTTTTTCTGTTTAATAATCTATTCTCACTTGCCTTTTGCTTCATTTATCTAATAAATGTGGGCTCACGCCAAGTATTCTTTGGCGGAATAATTGGTAAGAGAATACTTAATTCCACTGCTCACACTTTCATTTCAGGGTTTGGAGGGGCAAACACTCGCTTTAGGAGTACTTCCTGGTGATGCCCAGTTGATTTTACCACGACTTGGGCAAAGACCGTTGAGGTCTGACCATACGGCACAAATTTTGCCGAGCCACCAGTCTCTTCCTCTTCCACCGTCTTCCGTGGTCTCGAACCCAAGTGTCAAAAGAGAAGTTCTTGTGAAAACCAAGACAATCAAGTCTGACAGTCGCATTTGTTGAAAAGGGAAAAAAATGAATATCACAACTCTATCATTAATCTTGACAAATTCAATATGTTAGTTTCGAAACGCGTAACTTGTGTACTTTTCTGTTAGGTTTATTCCGGTTTATTATTTCTTCGTTGATTAATGATTATTACTTAATAAGTTTCTATTTCAATCAGTTTCATTTAAGCACATGTACCAGATATTGTATTTCATATTTCATCGCTATAAGTTGCTGTTGACGCCACCAATTTTGACTGCTATTCACGAACGATTCGCTATCGGAGATTTATCTACAATCGTTAGGAGGTAGACCAAAGTAAGTTTGTCTTTCTTTCACATTTAAGATATTTCCTTTTTTTTTCGAATACGTACATTGATTTATTTATCGCTTTCAGTTCACTTTATAATCGCCTCGTTGTTAATTAGGCTAGTGTTACATTTCTCAGGGATATTTCCTTAGTTTAGTTTCTGCTGAATTTTCTTTTAGGTCGAACCACAAATATTCAGCTACAACGTTACCATCAATCATAACTTCGCCCTGTTCATTTGTCATTTCACACCGATCTCCTTATTTTCGTTCGTAATTTTGATTACGTACTTCGTTTGATTAAACCGTGATTTATATTGTGCGTTCGGATTGTCTTCTCCGCTACACTAGTAACCTTTGAAGGTTACACAATAAAGCTTGAAACTCTGAGTAAGTCATTATTTAGTATATTGAAGATAATGAGAGATATTGTGCTTGAAGGAATCTTGTGAGTCGCCTGGTAGCTTTGACTAAGCAAGGATCAGCAGAGAGGCATCGTCAGAGCCATGATAAATATAGAGTATGCGCAAGGTTATTATTATGGAATGGATCGCTCTGACGAAGGGCTAACGCTCGAAACGTCAGCTTTTTTACCCTTTACGGTGGCTAATTTACGTTTTCAACCCAGTTGTTAACACTAAAATTTTCAGTCGAGGAAATGATGAAGTAGTTTACGAGCAGAGTACTATTGGGCAATCAAGAAAGGGCTCTTCAGCGAACTAAGTACTAGATTATTGAGAATTCACAGAAGCTATTCACTCAAATGTTGTTCATTTTAGATGAATATTTCTTTTGTAAATTGGTTTATAGTGTCTAATACTATTGGGCACGAAATATTGCTTTCATGCATACATGCTTCACTGCATCTGATATAAGACACAAATGAGCGTAAATATTTGATAACGACATGTATTTATCAGTTTTAAAGAGAGGACTTCAAGGCAAACTAGAACTCGATAGGAAAAAAAAATTCCATTCTAATGAAGAAAAATTTTGTGAAAAAGGTTCATCCGTGATGCCCTTTAAAAACTTTCAAAACTTTGTGGTCGTCTCTGACAACACTGTGATTTACCCAGGTCCCGGTTTACGAAGATCCCCTTCATACCCACGTCAGAGATTACGCAAGATTAAGCTGTCGCAATAAATGCCCGATTTTTAATATCATAACGCTAAATGCAAGTCCCTAAAGCTTAGTCATGTTGTTTACTTTTTAGTGAGTTTTTGGAATGTCTTAGTTTTCTCCGATTATTTCTCATTCTTCTTATGAGTCTTATAATTCAAGAACCCTCTGAGCCTCAAATGTAGCTTTTACTTCTAAGTTTCTGCATCTACAAAACAAGTGCTAGGGTTGCTTTCACCAGTACACACGACTGGCTTTACTCACTGGCCTTGCTTTGAACCTTCACCAAAGTTTTTATTTTGATTAAAGTATAAACCACATAATTTATTCATGAGCACGAGTCGCACAAAAATGCTTGGGTTGTGCTTTACAAAAATAATTTTAATACCTATGGTCAGTAAGCTCTTACGCCCACATACACTCACCGAGGTAATGAGAGAGAACGCAATGTAGCTTTATGAGATGAATCAAGCGGGTTTGGAAGATGCAACATTCAGCATCACTGAAATGAAAGATAAGGAATCACAGAGTCTGTCTACCTCCCGCTAGAGTGGGTGTAGGTTATTGTAAGAACTATTTCTCTCCCTCCCGTGTATCAAAATGCCTGGTAACAATTGGCTGATTTGAGATGATGCAATTTAGAAGGAAAATAAACTATCACGGTTTAACTGGTTCGTTTACGCGTGTGATGATTTTATTTATCCGAGGAGTTTAGGCTAGCACGCAAAAATTACGGCCACTTCAGTTTATGGTTCATGAGGCTTGAATTCGTTCGTTATGTATAAAACAATGTCTAGCTACTTATTGCAATGATTTCGACAGAAAATTTTGTCAACTTTCATGCACAGGAAAGACTTCAGTTATATTGTGTTCCTAACGTTTCATCGTTATTGCTATCATAACAAACATCATATTTACTACTACCATTAATCAGGCTTGAGAGTGTCCTTAATCTTTTACTTTTCTAAGTGGAGAGGAATGTTATAAGGTGTTTTGGTTAATTAAGGTTTCAAGTTGCTACATGTTTCCCTACCTTGTTTTTCAATTTGAACATTCTTAGCCCTCTCATCGAGTTTCCTGATTGGATTGTCGTGCCATGTCATGTCTTGACACGAGCGTGGAACAAAGTATAAATTCTGGATCGCACCAAAGAATGAACTTCATAAATTCGGATTTTGAGCTTCAATTTTCCACAACTGAGCTACAGTAGCATTGACATTGGCTATTATGCTTAGAAGTGGCAGAAGCTTCATGTCTGTGAAAAGACCAAGAAAGATGGCAACATTTGAGTTCACAGTTTGTTTCACCATTTATTCACCCAAAGGCGACTATATATCGAGAGACAAGCAATTCAAAAATAATTTTGAGTTCTTTTGTTTCCGTATTAATTTAAGGATATTCCAAGGATACTTTCACGCAAGGATCAAAATTTTAACTATCGATAAAACGACCACAGATATGACCTTACATTTTTTTTTTTTTTTTTTTTCAGGAAGTGCCAAGGACTTTCTTAAAATCCAAATCCTGAGACTCAGTGCACGACAAGGAACAAGGTAGAACAAGGATACAACAGTCTTAATGATGATAATCACGCGAAGCTCACAGTTCAACGATAGCTAAAAGCGACCTCACAGCTGTTTTTATTCATCTAGTTTTTAAACTTTTTTTGTTTCATACTTGACTCAATCTCCTTCTTTCGATCTGTGCTTCCTCTACTAGTCATCCATTACGGTTTCCTTTCTTTACTTCCTCTTTGGCGGCAAATGGTACCTTATGTTATTTGTTTATTCGTTTATTTATATATTTGTCAATTCATTTTTTCATTGTTTTTTTTTCTTGTATTCCGTGTCTTTTTTTAAGATCATTAATGAACATTGATTTATATTGTTACTAAAACCTTTGCATCTATGGAGCCACTTTTGATGTTTTGTGTATTGCGCTGTTGTGTGCTTCGCGTCGATATTCTTTATATCTATCATTTAATATGTTTATTTGGCATTTATCATACCTCTTCCGACTAACTAGTGGTGGATGTCTCCATTGCGTAAACGTTATATGAAAAGGACGCGAAAAATATTGTAACGAGCAGAGGGAGAGATCACAACTACGATTATTTGAAGAAGTGAAGTTTGAACTATAATTAACTGGAACTGAAGGACTGATAGATACAAATTATAAGCATTATCGTTTTACCCCTGCGTTCACAAACGTAGAGAGATTTGGTGAAAACCATCAACATAGATAACCTGCCTTGATGTGACCTCTTACTTGGAAGCTAATCATTTCTTTTACAACGGATACCATCTTGAGGATTTTCATGTTTACTCGTCATATATTAGCCTAATGCTCTTACGATAAAAATGAAAAACAACACACACACAAAAATATTATTATTGTAACTTGCTCTCACTAATACTCAGGGAAAGAATCACGAAATGAGAACATTTAATTGAGTCAGAAACCAATAGGTTCCCGACTCACCTTGCTTTCTACTTTCATTTATCATATATGGAAAG